AATCGTACACATTTCAGAACAGTTTCTGTAATAACACTTATTGCTACTTGCTCATCCCTCCATTCTAGCTGAAATTTGATATGAGCAACGAGCTTTCACAATAATTCGCAAAGTTTTGCAAAATAGAGCAGATTGAAGATTGAAGCTGGAGGCCCCGGAGAGAGGACTCATCAAGTGGCTCATCCGCGGTGTAAAAACCTGTGAAGCTTACGAGTGACGTAAAATAAAGCCAACAAAACATTAAATTTTTACACCGAGGATGACCCCATCAAGTTGAAATCCAGTAAAATAGCAAAATTTTACGGTAATTCGCGTATGAAAGCTTACCTGCACAGCTGAAAAATTTGCAGCCACAAAGAAACTCTAAGATAGACCTAAGATGGAGCACAGCTCACTGTGCTCATCATCTTCCCGCCATTTTGAAACGTTCGCGCCAAAGAAACTGGGTCGAAATTTGGATTGACATCATGCAACATGGCGGACCTTGAGGCTGGCAGGTCTATTGTAGGATTTTCCGAGAATGTTGGTGGTCGATTTCGTTGTATTCAAGAGCTATGATTAGCTTGATCTTGCAATTAACCAAAAGTATATCATGGCGAAGAAAAGAGTGGCCTACTTTTACGACGAGGATGTTGGAAATTTTCATTATGGTAATGTTTTGTTCGTTGTTACAGTTCCTGGCATGGCATGCTTGTTATGTTTTGAATTAATTTTGCTGTACATTAGCACATGTTTTGAGAGTACATAACATCGTCCTAAAAACATAGTATCGTCATCTCTGCCATGCTAAGTGTTTATGAAATTGTGACCCTGTGAGTATTTTGATGATTGCTCTTCGAGGAGACACATTTGTCTCGAAAATGGTTTTCTTAAGTGCTTGAAATTCAGCTACCTGGCCACTTCCCTTTGGCATAACTGAGTCTTATTTTTCCTCATCTGTCGGCGATGTTCCAACAACTAGACGGTAACGGCTGCAGCAGAAATTAGGAGCATTCTTTTCCTTTGAGTAAACACAGTAATTTTTCTTTACAATTACATGGAGCTCAGAGACGTCTGCCAAATCTTCAGTTTGTAAAAGTCAGTGATAAGATTCACTAAATATTGCTTCCAATTTTTTCAGGCCCTAATCACCCAATGAAACCTCACAGACTTACTTTAACCCATAATCTGGTATTTAACTATGCTCTTCATAAGAAAATGGAGGTAAGAGCCTTTTAGACTTTTTTAAAGTTTTTAGAGTATGCCACTGCTGTGTGGGACCCTTACAGACAGGACCAAATTGACTCGATTGAAGCTGTCTAGAGGCGTGCTGCTAGATTTATTAAAAAGGACTACAGTAGATCCTGTTCTGTGACAAACATGTTGAAGTCATTAGATTTAGATCTTTTGAAAGACAGACACAAAGCCCATCATTTTAATATTTTTTATTTAGCAGTTAATAATCTGATAGTACTTCCTATACCAAATTATTTCCCACCCAAGCAATGTGTAACTAGATTCTTTGCTAAAGATACGTTTATTCCAGCTAGTTGCAATCATGATTATTATTACTTTAGTTTTTATCCAAGAACAAGTAGGGATTGGAATGCTCTAACACAGGACATCCAAAGTTGCATGACCTCCTCACTTTTTAAATCTCATTGTTTGAAAGTCTGTAGGTGTGACTAATACCAGCGTTAATTATCTATTATAATATTTACTCATTAATTATTTATTTATCCATTAAATTGTGTACTTTTCATATTTTATTTATTTTTACTGTTATGGATTTTATCATAGTAATTTTTTATTTGTATTTCATTTTATTTATATTGACTTGATGCGAAAGCATTGTTGATCAATAAAAGTAGATGTACCGTAAAAGCTCGAGTTGGCACCTGGGGCTCTTATTTAATTTTCTAAGGCAAGAGAGGGGTGCTAATTCGAAGGGGGGCACTTATTTGAAGCTGGGCACTTATTTCGTTTATCAATTTTTAGCCTCAAAATGACACTATCTTTATTTCTATTGGGTGCAAAGTTTTACAAGGAAATTAATAAAGTGAAGCAGCTATGTGCTCACATGGATATTTCTATCAAGAAAATGAGAAGCAAACCCGTGCGACTTTGAAAGGACGTTACCATTTGTACTATATTTAAAAATGTCACATTTTACTAAAAGAACTGTATGGACTGTATACGTCTGGTATATCGTACCGAGTACCGAAACTCATTTTTTCTCGGGGGAGGGGTGGGCGCTTATTTGAAGGGGGGCGCTTAGTACAAATTTTGAGCCTTAGGAGGGGCACTAATTCGAAGTGGGGCGCTTATTTGAGGCTGGGCACTAATTCGAGCATTTACGGTAGATGTAGATGTACAAGGCTCGACACTAACTTTTCAGCTTACTAGCCAAGTGGCTAGTGAAATCTTGTATTTTATGACAATTTCAGTTTGTTTACTAGCCAAACTGGCTAGTGGAAATCAAAAACCACTAGCCAAAACTGAATTTCTACTAGTCTGTGGTTAGTGGGCTACCATAAGTGTTGAGCCCCAGATGTTGTGTTTTGGGTGAATTAAAGATTTTACACTGTATATGTTAATTTTTCTGCTTGAATTTACTGTTATTCATTCAGTAAGAGTGAATTTTAACTCTCGAACAAAAGTTTATCTTTCAAATTGGCACCCTTAACCCCATAGGTATCAACAAACACTTTTCATTCTACTAACTTATTCGTGTTTTTCTTGTCACCATGTTCCCACCAATAGTGTAGCTACACTTTCTGTATAGAAACCCACACACAACCCACAATTACTCCATTCACTCTGAGAAAGGGCTAGTGCTCGAAGCATCAGCTTTTTAACTCTTTATGGTTGTCAATTTACAATTTCAACTTAGTTAACATAACCAAATTACCTTATTACCCCCACTGATACAGCACCACAGTTTCTTTAGAAATTTATCCCCTTTATTCATTTGAATTTTAAGGAGCCTGCCTATGACCATGGAAGCACTTAAGTATAGTCTTCTTTGTAACTTTACTAATGCTTGTAATTGCAAGCAATTCAGTTGGTATCCAAAAACAAAAACATTGGCTTCCAAATTTGGGGGAAAAGTTGCCAATATCACACATTAATGATCACCAACAAAAGCAGCTCTTGATTGTTAAACAAAGTCTCCTTGTCAGCACTTTAGGAATCAATAGGGTGATTGAGGGTTTATATAATTATCTATTATGCTGTTTGAATTTACTGTTTTTACATGAAATATTTATTGTGACGTCATTTGATAGGAGTGAACTTTAATGAAACCCATGCCATATGCTTTTTAACAATTATTCCATGAGCGCGCGTTGGATATGAGATGATAGATAGCCAGCGAGGCACGTAGCACTGAGTTGGCTATAATCATCTCATATCCAACAAGCGAGAGTGGAATAATAATTTTATTAAAAAAAGGCCCCCAAGATATTAGACAAATCTTCTCGACTTTATTTTGTGAAAAGAAACCGGATTTAACAATGTACAGAAATTAGATTATGGTATATTGGCTCATATACCATAATAGCTGAGCCAATAAAAAGTCTTGAATTGCATTATCCAATGATCCAGTTTTTAATAATTTCGTTTATCCCATAGGTCTACAAGCCTTATAGGGCAACATACCATGACATGTGTAGATTTCATTCAAGTGACTATATACAATTTCTACGAAGGTGAGTGGTAGCAGAACTCTTAGAAATTTCATTTTCCTAAAACCAGTACAATTTCTAACTTTGTTATACTAATTCTCCAATGTTTTATCCATATTTCTGCAAGTTGTACTCTTGATTCACTGTCTTGACCCTGTGCTGGTCTTTACAGGGTAACACCACAAAACACAGCGCAAAACAAAACGCTCAACAATTTCAATGTTGGAGAAGACTGGTGAGTATTTTCTTTTATTTTCATTTCTTTATTTTTCTTTCTTTTTTAATGCTTGCCAGCTCCTAATTCTAAACCTGTGTTCAAAATTCTTCTTTTTGGGGGGAAAATTA